CAACTGGTCGCAGTTCCCCAGGAGCCATTTAGGTGCCTCAAACAGCAAGTGACCTAATTAAAAATCGCGCCCAATCATGTCACAAGCGAACGCACTTCACAGTCACTTGTGAGCCACTGTCAGACAGTGAGTTGCAACATGGACTGACAAGGACACCGGCAGTCCGCCTCATTGCCGGGCTTCGCCCCGAGGCGGGACATACAACGCGCTGGCTTTTACTCAAGCGGCAACTGCCAACCAAGACAGGGTATCAGGGTCTTGCAACGCGATGCCATAAATTATATCTAATTTTGCCGGGCCTTTTACACAGCTTGCCCTCTTTTTGACGATCAGAAGGAGCTCGTTTAAAAGCCTAGCATCCTGCCATTTTTATAGGTGACAAAAACTATTGAAGCTAAGGATAAGTTATCAGCTCAGACCACCGCCACGTGTATCTACTTCTTTACGTGCTCCTCTGGAGCAGGTTGTACTGGTCGAAGGAGTTGACGCCTATCCAAAAGAATAAGCGACCAACTCCCGGCATGCCTGAGGAAAAATGAAATCAGGAGTATAAACAGTAATCTCCCCGTGTACGCTGTTGATTTCGGACACCGCGTGGGCGCCAAAGAAACCTCCCGGGCAATTTATAAGGTCCCACAAAACTACCGCAAGTCCCAGGTCAGCGTCGGCTGGCAGCGGGAGAAGCAACCGATATCCGATTAAGGAATTCGGTCTTATGCAAGCTCCGGGCTTGGCATAGCCAGTGATCACTTAGCACTTTCCGTGCTTTCTTTATCTCCTACCCATCCCTCTGTCAGCCTCCAACAAACCCTCATTCCTACGTAATCCGCTGCCTCATATCGACCACCAAACTACACTCTCCTATCCCCACGACTCAGTTTTATGATAAGATGAACATTATTGCCCATTTGATTACCATGCACCCGTTCCCATGTTGATATAATGGCCCAATGAGAATTTATTGAAAGTTTCTTTTGCTAGCCAACTACGTGTCATTAAACGGACTAGGGCCAGGTGATGTTTTGTTGCTCCGGCCAAAGTAGCTTATGTAGGCCCTCTCATATATCCCTAGTCCCAGCATTTTGTCCTGCGAAAACGGTGGTTATAGAGTTTTGGGGGTGGGGAAATAGGAAGGGCAGAGAAGGAAATTTTTAGAAGTAAGTGTAAAGTGAAAAAATGTAATCGAAGTTGCTTCCCGCGGCCGCCGGGAGTAAGTTGTTCCGCGTGTAAATTGAAGGACATCGTTAATTCGCCCCAGTACCGGGCTTCGCCCCGAGGCGGGACATACAGCGCGCTGGCTTTACGCCAGCAGCAGCAACAGTCACCCGAGAAAGCAACTCCGGGTCTTGTACACAATAAACTTTCCTCCGGATGGCTTCCGAAGTTACGCCATTCTTACTGTGTAACTCATTGGGAATGCAAACAGGCCGTAATTACCAATACAAGCGAACATGCGAGTCCCAGGAAATAATTGAGAAGACGACTCGATCGCTGGGACAATACTTTTGTTCGACTGACGTTTCGATATCCGTCGCGGATTCATCACCAGAGACC